GCTTTTGTTCAACTCAAAGACATGTCAGTGCAGAGCTGTGATGAATCTTTAAAGAAAAGAGTCTCTATTGCTGCACCTTACCCTAATTAGGAATTCTTTATATAACGTGATTAAAAAACATTTTCTTTAAGGCTGCCCAAAATCACCATTAGAGAGGGAAATAAAGTTAAAGCCACTGAGGTCACATAGATTATTTTTTTCTGACCTCACCCAAAAAAGTTAAATTCTATCAACATTTACATAACTTAATTCTGTTGACTTTCTTTTTCAGAAAAAAATATGATGTTTCAGAGAATGTTGGGGTTGGACCACATTGTCTTTCATTGTATGGAAAAAAAATCTAAATATCTTCTTTTGTGTTTCGGAGAAGAAAGAGGTTTGGAACAACATGAGGGTGAGTAAATAATGACAGATTTATTTATTTTTTTTGGTTGAACTGTTCCTTTTACAATGTGACAGATATGCTGTTCTGTCCTAAAAGAAGTAGATCAATTTAAAATTAGTAATTGTATGACGTAAAAAGCTCTCACTAGAAAAAAGGAGAATGACAAATCAGAGATAAAAAACTGAATCACATATATAAAACTGAGCTATCAGTAAATCTCAAAACAAACTTATAAACATAAAACTGAGCTATCAGTAAATCTCAAAACAAACTTATAAACATAAAACTGAGCTATCAGTAAATCTCAAAACAAACTTATAAACATAAAACTGAGCTATCAGTAAATCTCAAAACAAACTTATAAACAATGAATTTCCTTAGCTCTGTATAAAATATTAAAATCAGCTGTGTTCAGAGCCAGTGAATACACTCTAATGGAGAGTTTTCTCGGCAGTGGTCTGCACATGCACAAACCTTAAATCATTTGATAAGTGTGCTACTGTCCAGAACGTGTTGCTACACTGATTACTGCTACATTGTTAAAAGTGGCCATAACATCCGAGAAAGACTAATAGAGTGCACTATTAAACTTACAATCATAATAAACTGTACAGCACTAGTCAACAAACAACAAGTCATGTGAGCAGGTACTAGTGAGATGGCGATCAGGGAAGAAATGAATCAAGCGGTAATATCCTGCCATGCATTATGCTTTCATTATGCAAAGTATTATATCTCAAGAGCCATAAATAGTGGCATTTTTTAAACATTATAACTCATTTTGTGACGTCTGGACTTCGCTTTCTGACTTTAATGTGTAAAATCTACAACATAAAACACTCAGACTACTACTAACAATATTTTCTAGTGTCATCTGTCATAGATAAATACATGCAAATCCAAGAGCAACAGACCTCACAGCCAAAGATAAGTCAGGCGTATGTGTGGCTTTACTGTGCTGTAATCCTCTGTTCTCTATAGGGAAGGCTTTTTTAATGACTTTTAACCTTGAAACTCTTTTATCAATGCCAGAGACCTCATTCTAGAGATTCACCTTTGACAGATCAACGGAGCTCCAGTCAGAATACATCACTTTAAACGAACCATAAAGAATCCGAAACTATTACAACAGGAATCCTCCAACACCATTTAAAACTGGATGTCCATTCCATACAAAATCATGAGTGTCCCATGCTTTGAAATCTATTAATGCAATGTTTTGTATATTATTCACATGGAATTTGATATCTTTCTAACTGAATTCAAATTATTTACTTTGAAAATATGTTTATTATGTTATTATCATTTAATTTAATGATAAATCGAGATGGAATGTTTAGCAAAAGTAAAATCTTGTATGGTGCAACTAGCATGAAATATTGTATTTTATTTTTGTACAATATTTCCTGTGTTTTGATGCAGTTTAGAAATATGAAAAAAAAAAAAAAAAAAAAAAAAAAATATATAAAAAAAAAAAATAAATATTT